TTTTTTTTTTTCTTTGCAGGTTCTTTGAATGACAGGTAAATTTTAATTTATCCAAAACAGTCCCAAGTGATGTCAAAGGGGAGTGACAGCATGTAAACAGAGCGCTGCTACAACCATAGATATAAAGACTAGATAAGTTGTCCCCGCATTTGGCCAATGGACCGATGTCCTCACACGGTGGCCATCTTGGGACGGGTAGCTCGCCCATTTTTAACATGAATGTGTGTGGTGTATTTACTATTTAAATAACCATAACTTGGTCAATTTTGATCGGATTTTCAAACAACTTTTTTTGTTGTAAAGGTGAGACGTGTTGTTATAAAATGGCATACTTATAATGGACATTCATAATACATGATAATAATTACATAATTGTGATAGGTAAAGTAATATCAATATATACACAGAATACATTTACAGTAGGTTACTTTTACAGCTGTCTGTGGCTATAACAGCTAACAACACAGACTGTAGAGAATAATCTGATGTTTCTTTAGATTTTTTTGAGTCACCATCAGAGAGAGAGCGATGATGAAAAGTTGGAGTTCAAATAATTTGTCTCAATGAACACAGACKACAGAGTTTCTTTTCTAAAGAGTTCCCCTTTGAYGTCACTTCCTGTTTCACTTTGGCTGAAACTTCTCAAGAACATATGCAAGTTATGTGACAAAGTGGGTAAAACCATGTGTATTGTGCCAAGTTTCTTAAACATAAAGTTGTTTTTAAGTTTTTGTATCTGAAGGATATGCATGTCACACGTACTTTAAACGGTTTTATTTACAATTTATCCTTGGTACATAAGTTCTCTCAGGKTCAAAAGCCTTGAAACCGGAGCTCAGAGAGTTGCTGTTGTCTGGAGGGCATTTGGACGTGAGATTAAACTGTTTCTCATTTTGACTCGGCCCGTTTAGAGCAACACAGAGCTGGTTGTAAACACGGATATGAAACATGGAGAATCTGCAGAGTGAAGAGCGCCCTCTGCTGGCCACATTGGTGCATCAAACACAAAATGCTCTTCATTTTTAAATGATCACAACATGTATTATTCAGAGTTGTAAAGTAATTAAGTACAAATATTTTAATACTGTACTTAAGTAGAAATTTTGGGTATCTGTACTTTACTTGAGTAATTATTTTTCAGCTTACTTTTACTTTTACTCATTACATTTTTACACAACTATCTGTACTTTCTACTCACTACATTTTTTTTGAAAAGGTAAGAAGTAGAAAGTCA